CACTGTTTTATCTTAAAGTTATTTTTAGTTAAGTTTCGATCGGAATCTATGTCTTGGGTAATTTTAGACCTTGAAGAACATGAGCTTAGGTAATATTTAAAAGTAACGGTGAGTTGGGTTGAGCCGTGTTAGTGCGCTTTAGTTTGGGGTCACCTAGTTCTTATTCTTTAGTATTTTTAAATTAGTAGTGACGTGTTGTATTCATACTTGGTTCATAGCTTTCCTATTGCTAAGGGAAGGAAATAATTGGATAGCCACAGCCATGTCTTCTTTTCGATTGGCCAGCCCTTGATTGGTGATGTGCGGTTTCTTATCAGTTCGAACCAAGGCTTGGTTTACTGCGGCTAACTCCTCTTCAAGCTGAGCTTTCTTCTCCAGAAGTTGGACTCGAAAGTGGGAGGCCAAAGAGTGTTGTTCTTTCAGAGTTGATACTTCAGTATGCACTTGTGAAACAAAACTCTGGTCCTTAGCCAGCTTCTCATCCGCAGTCCTAGCACAATGGCAAATGTTGAGATAAAAATCAATAGTAGCTGCAGCCTGAGATAGATGACTTGAGACACTCATGGCAGACTGCTCAGCAATGTTACAGCATTGAAGGAACCCATTCCTGATGATAGGCCTTTGTAGAGCCTCGAAGGGGATCCTTGAAAAGGAAGTCAACAGTTGCAAGCATGTGTCCAAATCTACTGAAGTTGCAAAAGGCTTGTTGCTGGAGGAAGGAGAACTCTTGAAGATTTCTAGTAGGGAGTCAGCCAAGGCTAATGGCTCAGTTTCAGCAGTAGAGGTGGGAAAGGTAGAAGGTATGTCAAAGAGACTAGCTAGTCTTCCTTCAAAGAGGTCTACCTCGTCCCTTGACATGAAGGGCATAGAGAGTGTTGTGGTGGAAGACACAAAGGGCTGCATGGGGATGGGAGAAACGGATGGAGCATCTTTGGCAGCCTCTATGGTCTTGGCCACCAGCAAATCAAGTGAAGAGGGGCTGGAAGTGGGCATTGGTGATGAGCCATGAATTGAAGAGCTACCAGTGTCCTCTGTGGAAGAATCAACTGCCACTGGGAATGGAGCAACAGTTGGTGTTTCTGTAAAGGACGGAAAAAGAGCAAGGCTCGAAGGAAAAGTAGACTGAGGTAGGTCACGAGCCAAAAAAGGGAGGTATGGCTTTAACCCAAGAAAAGGAGATGTAGGAATACTGGGACTTAAGGAAGGTACGTCAAATATAGGTTTTGGAAGTGGAAGTACGATTCGAACAACCCTGACATTCTGCATTTGATCAACTTCAACCGAAATTAAGGAAGGCCTTATTGGAAAGGTGAGTGCAGTAGTTGTCGCTGCAAAAAGAAGAAATGCAGCACAATGTTAAACTTCAATACCACAAGCTGACAAAGTAAAAAACAGTAGAGGTATGAAAGAAATTACTTGTTCCAGAGGCACTGGTACTGATGGGAGAACTGCGGAGAGAATAGTGTCCAGCAGTCCGCTGTTTTCTGGCTAGTTCCCTTTGCAATGCATCAGCAGCAGCAGCTCTCTCTCTTAAAATTTGTTGCTGCCGTCTTTTCTCAGCCCTTTCAAAGACGACTATGGCTTTGGAATGTCCTTGTTCCACGGCCTTGGTGGCTGCCTCATGAAGGGGATCTTCAACCAAAGCAGTAGCAGTCATTTTTCTTCTCTTTCCTATGGCTTGGGCAATTGTCTCAGAATCAGAATCCTCATCAAAGTTGGAAGGGGAGATATCAAACTCAGAAGGAGAGACAGTAATCTTTCTTCTCCTTTTTCTTTGAATTGGCTTTGTCTGCCCCTCAATTGTTTTCTCAGCTCCTTTAGCCTGAGGTTCGGATCCCTTAAAAATAATCTCCTCCTCTACTTTCCTAATGGTTGTTTCTTCTTGGGGCAAATCAATCGCCTTTTTTCTTCTCATCAAAGGTTCAAGCAGTCTCTGTTTCTTTTGTTTCTGATTACCTTCAACTAAATAAACTTCCATATTACTCACCCACCAACTCTGATATCTCTTCAAAAAGGAGCCGTGAGGTATGAAAGGGATATACTCAAAAGTGGCCAGATCATCCATAAACTTGAAGGTGCCTCTTCTAGCCTTGACTTTCGAACCTTCAAATCCCTCTTGGTCAGAGTTAGGTTGGTGTTGCTGCAGAGAGGTATTGGAACTCCTTGTGTGAGGCCAAATTGTCTAGCAAATTGAGCAGGACAATAAGGCTCAGCTATGCATTTATAGGCTCTGGGGTTGGTGGTCCCAATAAACAGTTCCCTAGGGATCAGTAGGGAAGCCCACATATCTTTATGAATAGGCAAAGCACAGAGCCCGTCACTGAGGAAGTGATTCAACCAGGTTGGACCTATGCTAGCTTCGAAGGGACGGAAACGATGATCAGGAAGAGCAGCTGGTAGTTGATGAAAGAAGGAGAAATAAAAGGAAAAAGTAGCTGGATAAAGTGAAGCATTGGCCAGTTTTATGCCATGAGTGAGGGAGTGTAGCCCAGAAAATTTAAGACATTTGGATTGTAGTTCAGAAAAATAGGCAAAGAGCCAAAGCTGAAGAATCCAAAATGGTCCCCCTTGATTGGCATCTAGGGGTTTCTCACAAAAGAGGGAACAAACTCTATATACATGACCCAGAATGTATGGGGCTAAGGCCACCCTTTTTTGCAAAACCAAGGCTTTGGCAATAGGAGCAAATTCAGGCATGATTCTTTGGGAGGAGGTGCAGAAAAGAAATTTGCAAAGCCAATATAATAAAAAGGAAAAGAATTCCCTATCAGTTACTGGACCCACTCTTTTGTTCTCAACTCTAACAAAATCACTGTAAGATGAATTAAGAGAGGGGAGGGAGAAAGGGACTACTAAGTCAGGAAAATCTGGTGTGATGGGAGTACCAATGGGGGATACTCCTAATAGATGGCAAATATCAAGAACAGTGGGAGCCATCATCCCACACCTAAACTGAAAGAAATTGAAAATAGGGTTCCAAAAACATAAAGCAGCGGGGATTAGAAAAGGGTCTTCTGGGATAGTTACCCTAGATAGTCGAAGAGCATCAAGAAGGCAGAGTTCTTGAAGGTCCAATGTCCTAGCAGGGACAACTCGGTCGTACCATTCTTGCCACTCTGGTCTCATCGTGGGCCAGCATCGGTGAGGACGATTGACTTTCCAGCCTTGCCAGTCGAGACCACCTTCATACAGAAGGCATTGATTCTCCAAGCGAGGATATAGGGCGGGAAGCTCGGAAGGGATCTCCTTGAAAATAGGTCCTAGCACGTACTCTCGCTGCACATGGCGACGAGGGATAAAGAAACGCCCATCGATAGCACTTTTCTCATCACCCTTGTATTTCTCACATTCAGCATCAATAAGCCGCTTCAAAGCCACAGATGAGCTTACGCGCTCTATGGTCGGAACTTTTGATGAGGAAGAAGCCATTGATAGTGAGTTCTCGGAAAATATAGAAGGGAGTAGAGAGAAATGGAAATCCAAAGGGGATTTGAATGTGTAAGCAATTCCGGGGCACAGAGTGAAAAGAGAGCAAAGAGAGAGAGAGAATTACAGAGAGTGTTGTAATTCTTACCATTTTGTTCAATATAGTGAATCCGCTGCCCGTGGACGTAGGCGACTTGCCGAACCACGTTAAATCTTGTGTGTTATTGCTTGTTTAAGTTCCCTGGTGTGCCCCCGATCCGCAACAGCAAGGACAAAATAACATGATTGTAGAAAATGATGTACCAAAATTCAGAGAGTTCACCGTCCCAACATGAAAAATAAGAGTCAGTGGAGTGCTGCGAGATACTTGTTAAGATTTGATATATGATAATTACAACTTAAAGATCTGCTGTCGAATACTGCAAGTCTGCTTTTGCTGCAAGAGAATAGAGAACATAAATTATAGTCAATTGCTGTCATCATTTAGAAAAGAAACGGTATAGCAATAATAAGCAGCAAAGAACACAGAAAGCCAAGAAAATATGCTCTGCAAAAAGAAAAATCATTGATAGAAAAGAAGCTATCCCATGGCATATTTACCGATCTAAAATGGAAAGCTGAGGAACTAGAACGCTCACCTCTCAATCCTATCAGAACTTGTGTTACAGGACTCTTCTATTTCCCCCACAATACCCATGTGCACCAGATGTGACATGGGTAAAGGTGTGGGATATGTGTCCAGTACTTGTATCCAACTTACATATTTGGATCCTTTAATTTGTTACAATATATGAGAAGAAGAAACTCACATTTGCTAGTAAAGCAATATTTTTAACCTCTCACATTAATTAAATATAGAAATTTTATATTTTTCCCTAAATCCTATTCCATGTCAAGCATATTTCTATATAATTTACAACATTTCATCTGAGATTATTATATAATGTGTAATATATATGTGTATATGATGTGTTCCCGTACCCATATCTAAGTGTGGATACATATCTCAAGATCCTAAAATTTAAATTTATGAAGGTCGGTTGGATACACATCCACACCCGATTCGTACCCGAGTCTATGTAACATAGATCAGAACAATACACCTCTGCAAGTCCGTTTCATCTTAAGTTTTATAAGATCAAACTGCCAAGACACAATCAATAGGCAACTTCATAGATAAAAGGGGACCAAACAATGATATAGCAATCAAATTATAATACAAAAAGCATGTCCTAATTAAACGAACTTTCTAGAAGTAACGGCCAGTAGTATTGGAACTCACACTGCTACGGGAGTTGAATGTTCTGCCGGCGCTTTTGGTTACACATAATCCACCATGATGGGGGTGATTCTGTTGATGTGGGCCCATGCAGCTCTGCCTGATTCTCACTTGACTCGCATACCTGATCTTGTTTGTGGAGTGACCTAGAATCAACCACCGACATAAAACAATTCATCGATGGTCAAAACATGGACCAGATGTTTTACCACCAAAAACAATATAAATAAATAAAAGGATCTATGAAGGTAAGATGCATTTCTTTCATTTGTGATGTACTGAAAAATAACTGAACCCTTGATAGCAAAAATGCAGATCTGCGGTCCTTTACACATTGATAAACATGTTCATTCAATTATCAGAGGCCAATGCAGATAGGCAGTTCCTTAAATAAAGGGGGTCCTGGACAAAACAAGACATGCATGGGGCAGATCCCAGTTGGGTTCTTTCAAATAGAAAATTTCCAGAGAACAAATATGAAATTGAAAAAATAAATAAATAAATAAAAATCATGATAACTTCTGCAACATACAATGCACACGCTGAAATTGCTAATATCAATTAAGTGTACCATACAAAAAATTAAATTAATCTTATATGCCAACAAAAGTACACGAGGCAAGGGGGATAAATATAGGTATATTCTTTTCCATATAGAAACTGCATCATCTTTTTGTTCAGTTTCTCTTCTGCTTTACTTTGTATTCGCATTGCACCAACAGAAGTGTTTGCACAGCTAACAGACACTAAACTTGGGGCATGGATGGTTAACGAATGAGAGACCAAGCTTCAGTCTTCAAGCAGCAATCAATGCATATATTTTCTTGCTTGCTTTCAACACCCCCACTTAAGGGGAAAAACAAATCTAAGTTACCAACATTTTTGAATTATGGAGGACTTAAACCCAACCAAAATACTTCCTGCAGGAAGTTTTAAACCAGTTGCAAATTAAACATACTAGTAAAACCGCAAAACACCAAATTGCAAATTAAGTTTATTTATTTTAGAAGTGGTGCCATACAATAGTGTGTGCGCATGAGCGTAATATAACTGTAGCTTCAAAAATTGTAAATTTTGAATGGTGAATTTTACAATTTTACTCTTATAGCTAGGGCAAATGAAAAAATTTCAGACAATCAAAGAGCGGCTTTTGTTGAACAATTTTGAAAACAAAAAAAGCATCACACTTCAAAAAAAAAAAAGTGCCAACACCAAACTGACCTATTTACTTTAATATTGTATAATGTACATATATATTGATTGGTATGTTAACACACGGTGGAGTTTGAGCTAGTCTGCAACCTTATCCTCGATCACATCTTTAGGAGGGAGGAAGTTCCATTTGAGCTAGAACTCATTGGAATTAATGTATACACATGTAGATACATAAACACATATACTCTCCTTAGTGTTATAGAAAAAGAGAAAAATATGGAATATAGTAATAGTGGCCAAACTAGACTAGTAGTATAATGTGCATATTGTAATACTTTTTAAGAAAGAGACCAACACATTTGTTTGAACTTTTGACAACATAAAAAGAAATATGGAACAAGAAAAACTCAACAAGATCTAAAGCTAATTAATTTTCAGGGCAAAATCCACTTTATCCCCATGGTATGGCCTGGTAGCACTTCACCCCATCTTTTAAAAAAAAAACCCACATATACCCCCCATGTATGTGGTTTTTTGACTAAAGTACTACTCTTACATTTACCGTCTAAATAGATGAATATTGTGCTACACACTTCTTTTTTTTTAATTGGCACCGGGTTGTCCGAATCAAAACCCGACTAATCCCCAAGGGTAGGTCCTTGGCAAGGAGATTTCCGCAAGTGCACCACGGTTAATTCAATGATTTTTTTCCAGTCTGATGGCCCTAAGGAATTGTTAATACCTAAGAGGTTTCGATTCTTGAACCTTGGAGGGAGCACACCCCCAAGGCCCAAAGCCTTGCCACCAGGCCAACCCCTTGAGGTTACTAAACATGCTTATTTATAGAGTGGGAAAGAATTTTTTTTAGTAGAAGTCCAATGTCAATGTTTAAAAACATATTTATCTTTTTCTTCATCTTCTTCCTTCAAACTCCAAACCAACCCTAACTCCCTCCCACCACCACCACCCTCTCTAGCCACCTCTCCCACCATCCGTGATAGCAATGTTAAAACTTTGATTTCTGCAAATGACTAAATCTCTTCACTCCAAAAAGAGAGGACCAAAACCCTAAGAACATAAATCTGTCAAAGGAGATAACAAAGTTGTATTTTTGTTTGAAAAACCAAATGCTCTGATAAAAAAGCACAGTTCAATTGCTTGTATTTTCAACTGAAGAATTATCTGCTCTCTCCAGGTGTCTCTCTCTTTCTCACTCTTTAACTTACATGCTACTTGGATTTATCATATATCTTATTAATAATCTTATTGTTGGCTTAGATTCAGAGTTTCATAGTTCCATACCAGCATCTCTAATTCCATTGTCTTCTCATTATCTTCAATTTTAAAGATATTATTTTATTAGTTTTTGAATAAATTTGTAATTCATAGAAGAATTTGCCATAAGGATAATTTATTGCTTCCCTATGATTTATACCTTAAGGAGTATTGAAGCACAATTAGCATTGTGGCTTAATCTGATAATTTTTAGTTTGTGTCTAGAGTAGTGTGTTTATTGGGTTTTTACAATTTTTCGTATGCAAGAATTGGTGACCATAAACTTATTACTGCAATGACACTATGCAGGAGAGTTTGCAATGGGGAAGAATGCACATATGGTGAAATGACATGTGTATGTATACCTCCTCCCCCGCCTATGTATGTATTATATACAAATTGTATATACAAATTACTTATTACTGTATCATGTTGGTTCTATAGTTGTTCTGTTGCGGTAGCGTTGGTCTGGTGGTGTTTTGGCTGCTGCAGTGGTGGTTTGCTGGAGCTCTGGTGGGTGTTTGGTTCTGTTTTGTGTGACTGAAGTTGAACTGGTAGTGTGAATGTTTGTGCTGCTTGGAGTGGGTTGAAGTGGGCTGGAGTGGGTTGAAGAGGGATGGGGTTGATCTGTTGTTGATCTGTGTTGTTTGGGCTGGAGTGGGTTGAAGTTCTGAATCTGAATTTTGTCTTGCTGGTATAGTGGTTGTTCTGAATCATGTTTTGGTATGCATTAAGGAGGGCTGGCTTGTGCAGAGGAGTTTAGATTCAAGCATCTGAAGTGTTCAAGAATCTGCCTTGGACTGTTGGGCATGTTGATTCTGATCTGCCTTGGACTGCTGGGCATGTTGGTTCTGTTCTGCTGCAAGGTTGTAGGCTGCCTGGTCTGCTGTAGTGCCCAAAAAAAAAAAAAAAAAGGAGTTACTCTGCTTTACAATGCTTGACTTGGTGTTTGACTTGGTTTTGTTGGATTTTGGGTTTGTTGTCTCATGATGTCTTTCTTTCTTTCGAGTTTGGTTCCTCACCAATCTCTTGGGGTTGAGCTTGCAGATGATTGGGCTACCTTCTCGGTGCCAACCTAGTTGGGATTGGGTTTGGTCGCTTTGATGCTTGATGCTCCCCCTCTCTCTTTTTTGATGTAAACTCATATCTTGTATGATTTTCCATCAATAAAGGTTCTTTTTGCTGATAAAAAAAAAAATTACTAATAGGTCCTAATAGTTAGACTTAATTCCCATAAAGTCCTATTGAAAACAAATCCTAGTAAAATCGTCGCTAAAAATAATTTGTGACGATTTTTTGTATGTCACTAAAAATTGACAATTAGTGACTTTTTTTTGTCACGGTTTTTATAAATTGTAGCTAAAACTTACAATTAGTGACGTTTTTCTGTGACAAATTTTTCAAATTGTCGCTGAAAGTTAAGAATTAGTGACACTTTTTTTGTGCTGATTTTTTTAAATTGTTGCTAAAACTTGCCAAAACTGATAATTAGTGACATTTTTTTGTGACAATTTTCAAACTATCACTGAAAATTAACAATTGGTGACTTTTTTTAATAGTGTATGATGAAAAATGTCATTAATTATAATAGGACTTATTCGACAATAAGTCTACTTATTAGAATCCACAGGTAAGTTTCCCTAATTAAATATGCAACTAAACTAAATTTATGTTACAAGGTTAGAAATTATATTATAAAATCAAGTGTCTTTGGGTTAATATGTAGTTTAATTGATTAAATTTGGGATTGTTAAAAAAAATGTGTAAACAGGAGAGAGAAAATAGTCAACTGGTACTAAGGTCAATTTCTAACTACCATTAATGGAGTTTGCATTGCATTTTAGTTGAAAAACACATGGGGGCAAAGTGGATTTTACACTAATTTTTAAAACAAAAAGTTACATAAATTTCTTCAAGATCCAACATTAAATTGATCCACTTGAACTTATAGTTAGCAAACCAAAGAAATGACTTCAAAAAACTTGAAAATTAAAAAGAAAAAATAAGTAATAAGTCCTATTTTGTTCTTAAAATTACTATTGAGTCTTATAAAGTTTTAATATGGACAATTAAGTCTTATTTCTCATAAATTGTTTCCAAAAAGTCCATTCCTCAATAATGATATATATTATTCCAATTTTACCCCTAATTTAATATTTCATAAATATTGTTAATCTTAGTAAATTTTATTTTTTAATGGTAAAAATTATGATATTGTATTAAAAAAATCATAATTCTATTTTGTTTTAAAATTTGTTATTGAGTTATATCAAATTTCAATATTAATAATAAGTCCTATTTTCTTTTTTGTTTCATAAATTGTTATAAAAAAGTTCCATTATTCATAATATTATATTTTATTTTTATTTTTATTTTTATTTTTATTTTCTCATTAAAATATGAACCAAAAATTTCATAAATAATTTATTTTATATAAAATTTTATAATAATGCTATTTTTCATTGTTGAAATTAAATGAATTTTCATAAACAAAAGTATAAGCATAAGATTCATCAACTATTTCATACATTGAAAAATATATATTTCTTTGGAATTTTAATAGAATTTTGTCCTTTTAGATTGTTTACACTAAAAAAATTGATAATTTGAAATATCAAAAAAAATGCATTTTACTATAATTGTTTCGATCCAACTATTATTTATGATTTTTCTAATAGAATATTAATTATTTTTACAATTAAAATTTTCAATTTTAATTGAGTTAAAATTGTTGCTCATATTTAATGAGAAAGGTAAAAATGAGATGAGGAATAAACCTTTTGGGAGCATTTTATGACAAATAGGACTTAGTTGTCCGTATTGAAATTTGATAGAACTCAATAGTATTCTTTAGAACAAAATAGGACTTATTAATAATTTTTCCAATAAAAAAAGTACTGATACATACCTAAATGCATTTTCCTCTTCAAATGTGAACCAATCTTGTTCCTTGAATTGCATCTCCCTCTCAAGTTCAACTGATATTACTTTCCAAATCCTCTCTCGTTCCTCCTTTGATTGCACCAAACTCTTCAATTTAACAGCAATATTCCCCAGAAACATCAGTTTATCTTTCTCCAAATGAGCTGCCATTTCTCTCAAAAATAGTTTTTTCTCCTTTCTCTACAAAAACAAAAACTAAATGATAATCACCAAAAGGCATCAACCTCAGTTAAGTACAACGGTATTCTGCAAGCTCTAAACAAGAACACATATTTCCAAATTGAGAATAGACAAAAAAAGGCCGATGATCTATTTTTCATGGACTCGTCTAAGGATGTAAGGTGCGAGTACAGTATTTGACTCACCTTTTAAAAGCATATGAACACTTTACCACTTCCATTTTTTTTAGAATAATGTTTGAGGGCCCGAAAAATTCTGCCCCGAATGCCCCGAATGGCTGAAACGACGTCGTTTCAGCCATTCATTTTTTTTTTTTTTTTTCTTCTTCCTCAGTCTGATACGCAGTGAGGGAGGAGAGAAAGAGAAAGAGAAAGAGAGGGAGAGGGAGAGGCCGTCGCCGTCGTCGTCGCCGATAGCCGATCGCCGCGCCTCCGCCTTCGCCGCCTCGCTGCTCTGCTCTGATCGTCGCCGTCGCTGCTCTGATCGTCGCCTCCGCCCCTCGTCGGCTCTGCCCCGCTCGTCGCCTCCGCCGATCGTGTCGCCTCCGCCGCCTCCTCCTCCATTTTTTAGGCCCCCTCCATTCCTTCCTCCCCCTCCCCCTCCCCCCCTCCCCTCCCTTCTTTGTCTTCCTCCTTTCTCCTACTGAAAAGAAAAAAAAAAAAAAAATTAGGGAAATTTTTTTTGAGCCATTCGAGCCGTTGCCCATTCGGGCTCTGTAGCACCACTGATCAAAATAATGGAAAGAACACTGACCAGAAGGAAAAGGGGCCCACAAGATAGATCATCGATAAGTCGAAATTTAGAAACCTAATAACAACCCACTGATCTCATGACATAGGTGTTGGGCCCAATTTAACGGCCCAAATTTGTTGAACATACTTTAAAATTAAATGGGGAAATTACCCACAGGTCCCATGTGGAACATGTGGACACCATTTAATCCCATAACTTTTTGGGTACACCCAAAAATCCTTTCCTCCATCTCTCTGGTTTTTTCCTTCCTTTTTACGTTTTCTTCTTTCTCTTTTTTTCTACATTTTTCTCTCATCGTCTTCGTCATAGACGATGGTGCAAGTGTTCATGTCTTTCTCCATTGATCGGGGTTCACTGATAACCGCCAACCATCGAAATCAACTCGTGATTTCACTCTCACCGACGGCGAAGATATATATTTCCGACGAAGAAGATGAGTGGATCTACTTAGATCTGATGTAGATCTACTCAGATCTAAATCAGATCTGAGTAGATCTACATCAGATTTGGCTAGATCTAAACAAAAAATAGTTGTCGGAGTACAATCCTCTCTCTACATCCGCCTTTCTCCTTCGATCTCTTTTTTTTTTCTCTACTATACACTTCTGTTTTTCTATTCTAATGGAGAAAATTTTCGAATTCTGAACAAGTAGTTTTCGAGTTTTAGTTACAGGCGGTGAAAAATGTAAAATTTTGCAGTTTCAAATTTTTTTTTTGGTGCTGGAATGAATCATGGTTTAAAACTGTAAAATTTTGCAGTTTTATAACATTCTTTAGAACTGTAAAATTTTACAGTTTCATAACATGTTTTTTAATTTTTTTTTTCCGGCAATATTCTAGACATTCCGGTGAGTCTTCGGCGACCGTTAAACGGAAGTCCGACGGTGGTAAGATGTGAACAGTGTCTGTAAATTAAAAAAAAAAAAGGATTTTTTGGTAACAATTAAAAATGTATTGGACTAATTGGTGCAAATGTTTTGTTTTGGGATTAGCTGGATCTTGAACTTGGTACATGGGACTTATCGGTAAGTTCCCCAAATTAAATTTGACAGAGACACAATAATTGTATAGCAAATCAATTTATGAAGCATGCAGGCATTTTATTATACAAAAAATTCCCTATGACTGGCTGCACGCTTTGGGGGAAATATTTTTTTTTTGATCGGCAAAGAAAAATTTCATTAATCAACATGAAATTAAAGGTACAGGAAGATGAAATGCACTGAGAGAGATTCAGACAGTACAAAGTACCCCTACTACTGCTACTCGCAACCATACAACCAACCCCTTGGCCTCACGATTTTTTTTAAACAAAAAACGTTAAGAAGGACTTAACAAAAAAAAAAAAAAAAAAAAAACATAATTCCCCACAAAATTAACCCACCAAAACACCCAAACTGCTAAAAAAACAAATTCTAACACCCAAGTTGGTAACCCAAAAATGTTAAACACTAACTGCACTCCCAATGCACCTGTACTCCCATGCCTATACTGCCCATACTTGTGGGAAATATACATTGCATTATTTTCTGGAATTCATAGCCCTTTGAGCTTTTGACAATAATTTGCTGAAAGGATGAATTGTACACATCCTATATGTTAATAAAACTGTATTACTGTTACCAGAAAAACAAAATTATTTTAGCATACAATTCATTTAAAAAGTTCACGAGTAACTAGAGCTGGCACAGAGGCAGAATACAAAGAGAATTTGGATTAACATGCAGAAGCAAGTCAGAAGCGAAGGAATTAGCTACCAGTTTATAAACACGATGCTTGAATTGAGTTAAATCATCATCAACAGGCATCCAATCATCCAACTTACGACCATCATAAGGCGCCAGAGATACCAAAACCCTTGCAAAGAACTTCCTGCGATCAGTTGATTCACCCAGTGCTTGTAAGGTAATAAGGTAGAAGACCATGAGCATTGAGGGTCTAACCTTGATGGCCTTTACCACCCTCACAAATCAAAGAGGAGGTTCATTCTACACAACAAAAATAAGCTTCAATCAAATAAATTCTCAGTTAACGTAAATGAATCCAAGAATCAAACAAAAAAGAAAAGCATCTCAAATTCATCGTTCCAATGATATTCTTATGAAAATCAGAATTCTCAAGCAAGAAATGAAAGACAACCATGCGACACTAAAATGTATCTAACCCAAAGTTGAGAGACAGAAATATAGAGGTGTTTCTGACAAAGATTATCTATCATTTCTTTTTTTCTTTTTTTTTTGGATAAATAAAAGATAATCTATCATTTCATATGTATCTATTATTCTAATTCCCAGACAAATGCTAAATCACAAACCATTAATAAAGGCAAAGTACACTAAAGGACATAGAAAATCTAACATCTAACAATGAATAGCTCAAACTCCGACCAATCAAACTGTAGATAACAAACAACAATAATATGCAATGACTCCCATACAAACAAAAGGTGATAGTCAAGTTCTGAGCAAATACTAGAACTCGAATTAAAAGAAAAAAACTATACCTCTTTCTTGTTCTTATTGTATTGATCGACAGCGAATTCTGCAATAGTTCGAGTATCATCATCGTCAGTAGCTCCAATAACATCAGTGAGATTCATGAAATTCATACACTGAGCATCATACTTAACGCCACTGGATTTAAGAGACGTCCCATAAAATGCCTCAAAGATCTTGCGGCCTTCTTCATCAACGTCAACAATCAATTGATTGTGTGAAGGAAACCATTCCTCCACCGACCTCATGCAACACGAAACCCGCAGCATTTTGTCCTCTCTCTCTCTCTCTCAGTACTGCTTAAGTCATGACAAATAAACAATAAAAAATAAAATGCTAAATGCTAAAAAAGATGCGTGAAATTTATCGCTAATAAATACAAAGCAAAATTTATTATAAGGAATTGCAAAGTGATGCATTTGAGTAATACTTTCGAGAATACAACTATATAGACCAATGCAAATATTTGATATTTGGCATATACACAAAAATAACCAACAGGGGCCATCCAAGGTTTTAAAAAGCGACTGCAACCGTTACGTAATGCCGTTACGTAAGGATTGTGGTGGT